AGTTCCCCCAAGCAAGCGCACAACTCTTCCTCCAGTTCTGTAAGAAGTTCCAAGATTGTTTCTTGCTTTTCTGTCATGCCCTTTGGCCTTTTCTCCACAAGGGGTGGTAAGAATTTAGGCACAGCTGTGTGGTAACTTATGAAAAATCACTGAACTGTTTGAGTAAGAATGAGCACCGGCGTACTGGTGAGCTGTTAGAATGAAACAGTTGGTCCAGTTCATGAACAAACCACGAGCTGCTCATGTGGTGAGAGCACTGCTACTTGCATGTGAAATTATGGAGAAATGTTCCATACCGGCAGCTTTAAGAAAATAAAGGCGGCTTTTTGAAGCCTCTTACATTAATGAATTACATGCTTTTAATTTGGTTCAGTAGTCTGAAGGTGTGGGGCCACAGCCTTGTTTCCTCTCACACTCAAACTGTCAGTACCAGTGCCTTAATTCTACATGCTTTCAAACCGAGTTTTTACTGCGATCCATTTATTTTCTCCTAGGCTTTTCTAGTTTGAAGAGTTTTGTCAAAAATGCTGGTTTCAGGCTGGGGACCTGAGCTAAGAGGGCTTTACCTGGGGCTTAGACATAAAACCCAGCTTTGGTAGGGAGTTTTATATTTATTTTTTTTAATAAAAGGATATGGAGCAGCATTGTCTTTTCAAAACTCGTTAAGAATAGCCTCTAAAATGATGACTTGCTAATGCCTTGACATGAAAATGCCTTAACCTTCCAGAGAAAGCTGCCTGACCAGCTCCTAACCTTCCATCCTGACCTGTGAATTCCACAGGCCTTGGGCTGGAAATTCAGCTGGCAGGGAAAGGACCGAACCTGTGGGACTGTGTGTGACTCGGTGTCACCGTGACAGTGGTTCACCTTTGACTCTGCACTGGTCCATGCTGGTGTGATACTTCTCCAGGTCTGAAGCACTCCGCAGGGGTGCGACACAACCTGGCAAAGCCACGCAACTTCCATCCAAACGATCTTCCTAACTGAAGATTGCATCAGCCTGGAATCATTGTACTAAAAATAGCGCTCGCTTGGGCTCTGATTGAAGGTACGTCTGAAATAAATACCAAAAGCTTGTGAGAAACGAGCCCACGTAAATAGTTTTCATGTAGTTTATTTGGGGACAGAGTCAGTGGAGCAAAGATCCCAGCGCTGGGCGCATGGTCGTAGCCAGAGGCGCTGACACCGCCATCAGTGGGTGATTTATACTGTAATTCGTTACAGACTCATCAACCATAGACTCACAGAATGGTTTGGGTTGGAAGGAACCTCAAAGATCATCCAGTTCCAACCC